TATTGTTTTTATTGCACTTTCATTATGTGTTTACTAATTCCTGTTGTTACTAACACTCACAAAACACGTGAGATACGCTCTATGAGCAATCCTCACAACCTTCGTACAATACAAGTATCTGCTATTTCACAACTCTCTCTCTCCGTGGGCCTCTGGAATTGTCAATCAGCTGTTAACAAGGCAGATTTTATTACCTCCATAGCTACATATTCTGACTATAATCTCATGGCTCTAACTGAGACCTGGTTGAGGCCGGAGGACACTGCTACACATGCTACTCTTTCTGCTAATTTCTCTTTTTCCCACACTCCTCGTCAGACATGGAGAGGGGGTGGGACTGGACTACTGATTTCCAAAGAATGGAAATTCACTCAGAGACCATCCCTGACAAAGATCAGCTCCTTTGAATTCCATGCGGTCTCCATTATCCACCCCTTCTACATAAATGTGGTTGTCATCTACCGCCCACCCGGTACATTAGGGCCCATCTTAGATGAACTGGATGTTCTTCTCTCATCTTTTTCTAATTATGACACTCCCTTGTTGGTGCTAGGTGCCTTCAACATTCACATTGAAAGATCTCAAGCTGCTGTCTTCCAGACTCTGCTTGTCACGTGACATAAAAGATGAGGAACCCAATTGCAAGCAAAACAAAGTCTTTTAATATTGTTCTCAAAAATAGACAGAAAAATGGTGAGTGGCTGGAGGCACTGAACAGGTGAATAATTCTAGTGGTGGTCTGGTTCGGCAGCACTGATCAAATGTTCATAAAACTCATCAACAGAGCAGATAAAACATTCGTCATAGAAGAAACCGCGATGACTTAGATGTAACTCATCAACAGAGCGGATCACACATTCATCAGGAAGAAACAGGAAGCATCAGATACTGCAACATGGAAAACAACCAGACCACTCACCACCAGCGAAGAGAGGAGCCTGACAAAACACAAAGAACCGTGAGCAAAACAACGAATTGACAACGTGAGACAGGAACGCTGAACATTTATAGGCACAAAAATGCGCTACACCTGTAGCGCGCTGATTATTAGCCGAGCGGCGCTACGGAACAGTTCCGGTAACAAAGATCATGTGACCGCTCAGCTGATGACATGAAAACAAACACCCACTGACAGCCACGCAACACCCACACAAACACAGAGAGAGAAAGGCACACATACTTAGAAACACGTATCATAATAATGAACTGTCACACAACGCAGACACTTCAAATAAGGAGCAGATGAATCCACAACCGTGACACTGCTTGCCTCTTTTGACCTCAAAAGAGCACCTACTTCTGCTACCCACAAATCAGGTAATCAGCTGAACCTTATTTACACACGACATTACATCACGACACTAGTAACTCCACTACACAAACCGGATCATTTCCTTCTGTCCCTCAACATCCACATTACTCCTGAGCCGCCACACACTCCAACACTGGTTGCAGAAACCTACGATCTCTCTCACCCAATAGACTATCCACCATTGTTTCAGACTCTCTTCCTCCATCTTGCAAACTCTCTGCACTTGATAAGAACAGTGCCACTGATACACTCTGCTCCACACTAGCATCATGTCTAGACCGATTATGTCCTCTTGCATCCAGGACAGCCCGTGTCAGTCCTCCTGCACCCTGGCTCTCTGATGTTCTCCGTGAGCATCGCTCAAAACTTCGAGCTGCAGAGAGAATCCTGCACAGCTCTTAACATACCAAACTCTTCTTTCCTCTTTCTCGGCTGATGGCTACATTCTTTTACACCAAAACTGCAAAAATCAGTGCTCAATTTGCTGCACCTACAACAAACACGCAAGGTACACCACCAACACCACACACACTCACCTCTTTTTCTCCGCTCTCTGAGTCTGAGGTGTCCAAACTCGTGCTATCTAGCCATACAACCACCTGTCCACTCGATCCCATTCCCTCTCATCTCTTGCAAGCCATCTCTCCTGCAGTCATACCAACACTGACTCACATAATTAACACATCTCTTGACTCTGGTCTATTCCCCACTTCATTTAAGCAGGCTAGGGTAACCCCACTGCTAAAGAAACCCAACCTGGACCATACGCTACTTGAAAACTACAGACCAGTATCCCTGCTTCCATTCATGGCCAAGATTCTGGAGAAAGTAGTGTTCAATCAAGTCCTGGACTTTCTTACTCAAAACAACCTCATGGACAACAAGCAATCCGGCTTTAAGAAAGGCCACTCAACTGAGACTGCCCTGCTCTCGGTCATGGAGGATCTTAGACTGGCTAAAGCAGACTCTAAATCATCAGTCTTGGAGGGGAGAGGTGTCCAACCTACAGCATCTAAACACTGGGGTACCTCAAGGCTCTGTTCTTGGGCCACTTCTCTTCTCCATCTACACGTCATCTCTAGGACCAGTCATCCAGAGACATGGATTCTCCTACCACTGCTATGCTGATGATACCCAGCTATACCTCTCTTTTCATCCTGATGATCCCTCGGTTCCAGCTCGTATCTCAGCCTGCCTGTTGGATATTTCACACTGGATGAAAGATCATCATCTTCAGCTGAACCTCGCAAAAACGGAAATGCTTGTAGTTTCTGCCAGCCCGACTCTACACCAAATTTTTTTGTTTAGGTCAGGGATGCCCAAACACAGGCTGTTTCTCAATTCCCAGAAAGCAAAGATTGGACTTGTGTTCTTGTGGAGAGCGGTCTTTCCACGTGTCCTTGGAAGAACGAACTCAGGAGACCGCGAGGGCAGAGAACGCGTCCTTTGAGAATTGAGATGCTGCGTTCTTCCTGATGGTCACATGACCTTCACGTGTTATAAATGGTAAATTATTTAAACATTACAGCATTCATAGAGTGATTTATTGTTTTCCCCCTTTTCAAAATATATAATTTGCATAAAACATTATAAATATACTCTGCACAATATAAATAAAACTGATTTTAATATGGATTTCAGCAAACAAACACTCCTAATGTATTAAGATGTCCATGGTGATGTTTAACTTCACTGTTTCATTTAGGGAAACTCCTGAGGTAAATAAGTTAAATCTCTGAACTTTATTAATAAATCTAGATAAAATGCTGCGCTTCCCACCTCCAGTCACAATGACTTCTGGGACTTCTAGAGCGAGTTCGGTGCTCAAGTCTGCAACTGTGCGTCCTCGATATCAAGAACACATCTGGGAAGTTTCAATCATCCTCTGTTCTTGCGGTCCTGAGTATTGGAACTGAACTTTGGCAGCTGATGATGACGTTACACGAGGACGCAAGACCGCTGAAGAACGCATATTGAGAAACAGCAACAGTCCTGGAGGGCCAATATCTTTTGCAGGACACCGGCCCTCCAGGACCGAGTATGGGCACCCCTGGTTTAGATGCATGTCAATGATGAGAAGATGATGGATATTTACTGTATGATGACCGAAATGGCCTTAAACACCCAGCAGGCACAAGAAGTCAACATGCCGTCAGATTGAAATTGTATCCTAAAGTTGTGGAGACACTGTATTTAGTTTGTAAATGAAAATCGAGTTTACATCACAACTCAACGTCAGCCAGATGTCAATGTCCAACGTTCAACCTAAAACCAACCAAATATCAACATCTAATGATGTTACAGTTTAGACATTGTGTCAACGTTACCACTATAACATCTATCAGGTGTTGAATTTTGGTTGCAACATCATTATTTCTTCTTTTCCTCACAGGCTACAGTCTTGTAATCTCTCTGTTCAGTGCTGTGAGAGTTTGTCTTCAGTTCTACAATCCTCAAACTGTGTGCTGAGAGAGCTGGACCTGAGTAACAATGACCTGCAGGATTCAGGAGTGAAGAAGCTCTCTGATGGACTGAAGAGTCAACACTGTAAACTGGACACACTGAGGTACAATAAAATCTATGTTATAATCTATAAAGATCAGTATTGTCATTTAATTGTGGTGAAATATTTGTAATAAAAGTTATTTGTAAATTTCACTATTCTATCTTTCTGAGTTTACAGGTAACTGTGTGTGTGTGTGTGTGTGTGTGTGTGTGTGTGTATGTGTGTGTGTGTGTGTGTGTGTGTGTGTGTGTGTGTGTGTGTGTGTGTGTGTGTGTGTGTGTGTGTGTGTGTGTGTGTGTGTGTGTAGGTTGTCTGGCTGTATGGTGACAGAGGAAGGCTGTGGTTTTCTGTCTTCAGCTCTGACTTCAAACCCCTCACACCTGAGAGAGCTGGATCTGAGCTACAATCATCCAGGAGATTCAGGAGTCAAGCTGCTCTCTCAACAACTGCAGGATCCAAACTACACACTGCACACACTCAAGTATGTGGAGGAGCATTTGGGTGTTTAATTTAGATGATTTCTCTTTAGAGGCAGAGAACAGATCAACTCTGGTAAATTAGATTAGATTCACCTTCACTGTCATTGTGTGAATTACAGTACAGAGACAATGAAATGCAGTCAGCATCTAACCAGAAGAGCAAATAACAAGAGTATAAATGATGTAAATGTATAAAAATATGTGGGACCAGCTCAGCACAGCTGTGAGGAATATAAGAGCCGGTGCAGGAGTATAGACATAAAGCTGCAGTATACTCTGAGTGTAAGGAGCATCACACAGTGAGGTATGTAGTGACAGTAAACTACATCATGTATGTCATGAGCGTCTGTTTTTCACATATCTAGTGAGTTTTGTTCAGCGGGTGAGGATTGGAGTTGAGATGGTTACAGCTGAGGGACAGACACTGTTCCTGAGTCTGCTGGTTCAACACTGAATACTGTATTTCTCTCACACTCACTATCTGTTCATCAGCTACTGCAGCAGAGTTCTCCAGATCAGCCTGAGCTCAAACTCCCCTCTCACCCTGCAATGATATATGCTGGAGGATCTTCTGAGCTCAGGGCTCTCTCCCGGGACAGCATGCTGAACTTTATAATCAATCATCAGTGAGGGTGAACTCTTGAAGTGTGTTCAGTGTGTGTTTCTGACTGAATGTGAACCTGTGTGTGTTTACAGTCTGGATCATGGAGGAGAGAAGAGGATTACAGCAGGACTGCACAAATGTATGACTACACACACACACACACACACACACACACACACACACACACACACACACACACACACAGATCTTTATTGAGTGTTGTTGTGTCATAAATGTGTGTGTTCTTGTGTTCAGATGTCTGTTTCCTCACTCTGGATCCAAATACAGCACACCCTGAACTCAAACTGTCTGAGGAGAACAGAAGGATGACCCGAGTGAGAGAGTGGCAGCCGTATCCTGATCATCCAGACAGATTTGATCATCCTCAGGTGTTGTGCAGAGAGAGTGTGTGTGGACGCTGTTACTGGGAGATTGAGAAGATTGGAAATGATGTGGATATAGCAGTGTCATATAAGAGCATCAGGAGGAAGAGAGGAGGTATAGAGAATGTGTTTGGACAAAATGCTCAGTCCTGGAATTTAATCTGCTCTCCCTCCAGTTTCTCATTCAGACACAATCACACACAGACTCGTCTCCCAGTGGAGGCGCTCAGCAGGAGAATAGGAGTGTTTGTGGATCACAGTGCAGGAACTCTGATCTTCTACAACATCACTGGAGACACAATGAGCCTCATCCACTCAGTCCAGACCACATTCACTGAGCCGCTCTATCCTGGGTTCTGGGCTCACTATGGATCATCAGTGAAACTGAGATGAAGACTGAAGAGAGATTTACCCAGAATCCTCTGCAGGATCAGTCAGCAGCAGTGAGATGAGCTGCAGTCTCTTCTCTCTCTGTGTGTGTGTGTGTGTGTGTGTGTGTGTGTGTGTGTGTGTGTGTGTCATCAGCTCAGTAGCCAAAGCTTCTTCATTGTGTTTTATTCTCCTAAAACTGTTCAGATGTCAGAATTGAAGAGTGCAGATCAGCTCAACTCTTCCTGTCCTGAATATCATCTGATACTGTTCAATATCAGCACTGACGCTGAGTCATTCTTATTAAACATTCATACTCTTATGCTTAATGAAATGCTTTATGACTGAAGCCTCATAGTGGTGCAGTATTTTCAGTAATGTTCATGTCTATTTCTGCTGTAATCTTCCATCTATAGTGTTAAAGAAGCTGAATACTGTGTTCTGCAGTTGATCCATCATCACTGTGGTCATCTGAGTAATTCTGCTTCATCTGAGCATTATTGTTTTACTGTACTGATGTGAAATTAGCTTTATGTGTTCCTCCATCTTCATCCGTCTTGCTGTGTTTTCTGGTCATCAGATAAGCAGATCAGCTCTGTAGTGAAGTGAGGAGGTGTTCAGTCTGTCAGCTGAAGTCCAGCTCTTCCTGCCCCATGAGCAGTTTATAAGAGTCATTCATGTGTGTTGAATCAGATCAGTCGACTGTTCAATGTGTAAACGTAGAGTCCAGACTGAGTTCATCTACTAAATGTGACTAATAGTGTGTCATTTCCCCAGTTCTAGTGGAGCTCTACCAGCTCTGTGCCTCTGATTCTTCAATATGAGAGAATCATTCAGTCTGTCAGAGCTTCAGCCTCCACTAAACCACCATTGATTTATTTTACTCCTGATTATCAGTGAGTTATTCTGTTATTATCTGCTTTATTTGTAGCTGTGAAAGAGAAACTGATCCTCAATAAAGCTCATGTTTCATGAAAAAGTTCTGGTGTCATGTTTAGTCAGTAAAACACTTCAGCACAGGGTCCAGCGGTGTTTCCTCCATCATGATCATCATCTCCTCCATCCTCACAGAGCAATTAGAGCACTGAGTTCTCCTACAAGATGGCTGAGCTCCATGTGTTTCTGGGTCAGAGGATGGAGGAGCAGGGAGAGGTGTGCACTGGGGCCTGTGAGTGAGGTGTCTGTGGAGACTGCCTGACACCACTGACGTCTGCACTGTTCTTTCTTACTACTGAAGTAGAACATTCTACTAAATATCTCCCTTCTTACAGTTATTTTCCTTGATTTGATATGTAAGAAAGCTGTGCATTTTCTACACTGATCTCACTGGTAACAGCACTAGTCCTACATGTTAGACTGACGTCCAGGTAAACTGATAAAGGTGGAGTGATTTACATACACAAGAGAAACAGTGTTCACTGTAGTCATCTGTGTTTCTGCACTCCTGCAGCGGTGTCCAACTCATCAGACCAGTGGGAAATCTCTACACACTGTTATGGAGTTCCTCGAGGCAAGACCAGGAGAATGGTCAGACACTCAAACAATCAGCTGTCTAATCTGAGGAGGAGATCAGCGAGGAAACCAACAAGAAGACGAGACTAGAGGCTGGTGTCTTGCGTCTGTTGATGTTGTCTAAGCGCGTGGCGGGGTGTTTACATCGTGGCCGTGTTGTGCTTCAGAATAATGAACCCCCAAACTGAGTGAGTGAGAGAATGAGAATATTGTGAAGGGTTCAGTATTGAAGAGCTCTGGAGACACACTCTGATCAGATAATCAACTGCAAGAGTCTTCACATGCTCTCAGTCGAGTTCTGGAGGACACACAGTCATGAGGAAGACCTGCGCTGATCCCACAGACCACCAGAGACACCTTGACACAAGGAGTTACAACACAAAAGGTGATCAGAAGAAAGCCCTCGTCTGATTTGACCATGTTTTCAGATTTGACCACATTCTCCCCCTGTTGTTCACTTGTTCACTTTATTTTGTGGATTCTGTTTTTGTCTTCGCTGATTTCTGGAACCGCTCTTCCCCGGACTCAAACCCGGATCATTGTCGTCGTCGTTGTCAGCTCCTCTCTGCATCTCAAGTCCGCCGACGTACACGACAAGCTAACTGGGCAAACTGGTTGCAGTGGGAAAGCCCTCCACACAGAGGTAAGCGGTCAGCCGGTAAACACCAAAGGAACACCGTCATACCGCCCCGTAGAGTTCGATTAAAAAATGAAATGCAGCCATACGTACCTCCGGCTACATGATTCTCGGTCTCCAGAAACGTCAGCGAGACTACGTTTTCAGAATGAGCCTGTGTTGGTCTAAACGCCACTCAGACAAATCTGGAAAGATTCTTCAACAGGAGAACATTCAGTCACACACACTATAGCATCTGTCCCAATGAGCAAGAGCAGCATTACTGAACACCAGTCAGACATTAATCCAACCTTTAACCATGTATTACTCTACCTTATATTCATCTGATTATAATCTCCTCTGACCGAGATTCCTCCTTTAATCTTAGCTAATGATCAGACTGAAGTAGATGAGTCCATCAGCTGAACTTGATGAAGCTCCTGAACACGATGCTTCATGACACTTCAACACATGTAAATACAGACTAATGCTCCTGTTTCTGACTGATCTGAGGAATCAATGTCTTTCAGTCGTCTCCCACAATCTGTCCATAAATACATTTGACCAAAAGAAGAGAAGCACCTTCTGAACCGTGATCATTTCAACTAATGCATTTATTAAATGTGGAAAACACGTAGTCTTGAAGATTAGAGAATATCTTTCCCACCATCATATCATCTTTATGTTTAATGTGTAAATAAGAGAACACTGTCATGTTCGTGTCTTATAATAATGACGTCCAGTTGGAACAAGTGTCTTCTTGATTTACAAGTTCAGTCTGCCTGAAGTTCAGTCTGTCTCGTCTCACATAAACCCTTATAAACCTCTGGTGCCATCTAGTGTTCACACACGTCATAACATACCATCACAACAAACACAATAAATAGCTGTTGATGATAAAGAAGCGTTTGGAGAACTAATAATCCTGAACACTTTCTGTTTCAGACGAGGACTGAGGTAAAACTCTGATTCTAAAGGGGAGTAGGCAGATACACTGGCTTTGGTGAAAGACGCATGTGAACGGCAGTCGGATACTTTGGTCAGCCATTAAACACCACCTCACCGTCATTACAGCACAATGAAAACTAGTAAAAGAGTGCGGGCGCCGTTCCTCATCCAGAAGTGGACAGGATTTACCATACCTTCTCATCTGCTGTCTTAAAGTCCTTCTCACTCTCTGGGGGAGGATGAAGAGCGAGGGCTGAGTGAACAGTGGAGAGTAGAGGACAGGTCACATTAAGAATCTTGATTTTGAGCTGGAAATTGGATGGAGAGCAAAGACCAAACACAGCAAGTTCCTGAACTTTCCCTCTGGAACATGCTGCAGATACTGGAGATGCGTGAAGAGTTGTAGTGTTTGGAAAGCTCTGAAATGTCATGCCAGTGACCCAGATTCATTTGTACCTGAAGGAAGTGGACACCTTATTCCCACTCAATAGAAAATAAATGAATGAACTGATGTGTTAATAAGGAAACAGATCATCTAGCACAGGCAATTTAAGGAAAAGCTCATGCATTTACAAAATACACCAGCAAATAAAGAGACGATCTTCATCAGTTTGACAACACACATGCTGCAAATCTCTCACAACACAAACAACTGAAGAAACACACAGCAAACCGGTCACAACCCACATAGCAAAACTTCTCTGGCCCACACAATCAGGTTTTGCTTGGCCCACATGCCGCAGTGAATTACGGTACATGACTGGACCAAATCTGGCTTCCAGACAAGGGCCAAACACGGACCATATCTGGGCCAAGTCTCAGCCGAGTTAATAACTCATAACTGGGCCTGAACTGGGCCAGATAGGTTGGTGTGTCACGATTGCAATGAAACTGATAAACCCATGGAGTGATGCGCTTTAGGCACACTATGGGCACGCTTTTTCTCAAAGTGACCTGATTGGTAGAATTTTTTTTCTTTACTCAAAAATGATTTTAGTGTATTTTAAATGTGGGTCAAGACTGGCCAAACTCACATGGCCCACTTATCACATGTTTAAATCTGGGCCAAATACTACGTTTTTCATCTGGCCTTAAAGACGGTGCCACCTCTGCCAAACCCGGGCCATGTTTGGCCCACATGCTGTATGCCAGTGCCGGATGAATGCCTGCTGTGCCAGCTTTATGCCAAATCTGGGCCAGAATTCTTTGCTACTAGGGAACACTTGCAAATATCAAATAAACATAGAAATATTCTTATCATGTTCCCACAT